CCCTTGGACTTCTGGATTATGAGATGGTTCTTACTGATGAAGCTCTATCAGTGCCTGCGAGTGATGCATCTGCTGAGACTAAAACTAAATATGCAAAGTGGATTAAGGCCAACAAAATGGCAATTCTAATCATGAGGAGGTCTATTTCAGAAGAGGTCAGAGGCAGTGTTATCGAAACTGAGAATGCTAAGCTATTCATGGAAGCTATTGCAGAAAATTTCCAAGGATCCAAGAAAGCTGAAATAGGCACACTCATGAGCCAGCTGACAGATATGAAATACAATGGAGAAGGCTGCATAAGGACTCACATTCTGAACATGGTTGAAATAGGAAACAAGCTAAAAGCCCTGAAAGTCAATGTGGATGAGACCATGATGGTGCACTTTGCCATTAACTCTCTACCTAGCATTTTTAGACAACTGAAAACTACTTATATTGCTCAGAAGGAGATATGGTCAGTTGCTGATTTGATAGGTATATGTGTGCAGGAAGAACAAAGTATTAGAAAGGACAAAGGCAAAGAACAAGTGTATTTCGTGCAGGATACTAAATTCAAATCAAGAGAATGGACCAAAAACAAGAATGCAGATAAGCAGCAAAAGAAAGATGAGACTGCAAAGGGGATGGGTCCAGTAGGTCTAAAGTGTTTCTTTTGCAAAAAGTTTGGACACTTAAAAAGAGATTGCAGGAGATACAAACGTTGGTTAGAGAAGCAAAAGGGAAAAGGTAAGCATGAAAATATCTCTGTAATCTATGAATCTAATACAGTTGAAGTTTTATCTAATTCATGGTGGTTAGACAGTGGTGCAACAGTTCATGTGACTAACTCTTTGCAGGGATTCAAAACAAAGAGGGTGCCAAACAAGGATGACTTGAAGGTGTTCGTGGGAAATGGAGAAAGAGTTAGAGTAGATTTTGTTGGTTTAGCTAGTCTTGAATTGGAGTCAGGTTTTATTTTGGAATTAGTTGATGTCGTTTATGTTCCTTCTATGACAAGGAATTTATTATCAGTTAGCAAGCTTGTAAAATCAAACTTACAGTTTGAGTTTGATGAGTCTGGTTTCTCCATTTTCAGAAATAAAAGTTTTATTGGTAATGGATTGTTGATTGATGGAATGTTTCGCTTGAACTGCAAATTGCCAAATCAAAATACAGAGATGATAAATATGTTAAGTTCGAAACAGCCATGTAATACAGAATCTTTCACACTATGGCATAAGAGACTTGGACATGTCTCGAAAGAAAGGATGAATCTGTTAAGCAAAGAGTTAATCCTTCCACCACTTAATCACCATGAACAAGATAAAACATGCATTGAATGTGCAAAAGGAAAATTGACAAATCTCAGAAAGAAAGGGGCAATAAGAAGTGAGAAACTACTTGAGATAATACACACAGATATTTGCGGGCCTTTTCCAGTTGATACACATGATGGTTTCAGGTATTTTATTACCTTTACAGATGATTTTTCAAGATATGGATATGTGTATCTCATAACAGAAAAATCCAAAGCATTGGAAATGTTTAAAATCTACAAAGCAGAAGTGGAAAACCAACTGGATTCTAAGATAAAGGTTGTAAGATCA